CTGTAGTACAAGATGCCGGCCCACTGCCTCCGCTGGTCAGACCCATGTTGAAGAGAGCCTTCGGCTGACAACTGAATATTCTGTGATAGAACGTGATCCCAAGTCCCCCGAAATTCCCTAATTTATGGTTTTATTTCCGCTGATTCAGCCTTGACGAAAGAGGGTGGGTGACTCCCCCCTCAGTGTCCTCAATCCTCATAATAACCTCCTCATTGGCTCTCATGGGGGGTTGTGGGCGGACCCCTTGCGTCTTATTGCTGTGTATGCGGTCTCTCACGATTAAATCCAGTGAACTGAGTGAGGCAAGTGTCTTGCTTTGTGAGTACACCGAGACTTGCTGAGTCTTCACATTCTTAACCTAATTGCCAGTCCCGGTGTTTACAATTTACGGCAATAACTGCGAAACTCTTTTCGCAAGTCTCTAGCTTTTGGGTAATACCATCCCCTCTCTAATCTCAAATTTGGGGCATAACACCCCGTAATCAGCAACGGAAGGAGGAAGCAGTGGAGCCGGAAGAAGCGGTGGAGCCTGGTCAAGCCGGAACCAGCCACGCCCCAACAACTTCAACGGAGGCAGCACCAGGTAGGGCAGTCAAAGTGACGCGGAACGTAAGGCGAACAAGACGGACGGTAAGAAAAGGTGGCAAACTACTTGTGGGCAAGAAGCCTCAAAGGGAGGGCGGTTAAACCTTCGGCTAATTGTTAAGCATATGTTGATGTTGATGTTGATGATATAACTGACAAGGGCACATGTCATCATGGCGTGGTTCTGGGGAAGGCGAATATTTGCTCCTTATCACAAGTAGATTCATTCCATCTACCTTAGCTAAGTAGACTCATTTCTCAGTTATTTCAGCGTAACATAAAAATATGTAGAAAATTATGTCGCTCACATACAGCAGATACTGAGGCCCATGACTATCACGGACAATCGAATCAAGAAGAGATGGGCGAGATATAGAACGTGAAAAATCCATACAAAATTTTATACATCAATCTTAAATGTACGTGTGGCTTAAAATACCAAGCAGTAGATGGAGAATAATATTACAAAGGGTCCTGAAGAATGCGTTTGAGAGCGTGCACTAGCTTAGGGCAGCATTCATTGGCGGACTTCTGTGAGGACGGTAATGACCCTTCAGTACCATTAAATATGGGGAGTTAACTGACCACTTCAGCGTCTATCAGCTTCTCGAGGATAGTGTTCCATGGAGTTCGAGTATTCAGTTCAATTTGAGGAGCATTTACAACAGTGGTTTTCAAACCGTTAGTGGTGAAACTGCCTTGCATGTGTCGCACAATTAAAGGTTAAAAACAGTAAAGCTATCCGTGTGACAGGCTGTGGGGGCCCATAGGACTGTGAGACTTCGAAGTTCACACATTTTCTAGACAACTGGCTCACAGATGGCGGGGAAGTTGTCAGCCTCATGAGCCGGCCACCCTTTGACTCTGGTATTCATTTATGTTAAGAGGCTTAGTCCACCCCAGGGCCATAATGCGGCTGGAACAATTGAGTCAATTGAAAAATCCAATGACCTCATTAGGAATCGAACCCGCGACATTCTGGCTTGTAGCATAGTGCCTCAAACAACAATTAAAGTAAAGAGACCCCATTTAAAATGTGCGTATTTATGATTATCTATCTAACAATCATTTCTGAGAGTGGGCCCACGTCTCTAATCGTTCTGATAAACCGATTACTTCATCAAAAATTTTCGGACATATTTAACTCTATTTACACACTCTCGTCTTTAATGCAACTTTGTTTAGAATAATTCCTTAACGTAAAATAATATTAAACTTAAGCTGATACATGTTTCATCCATATTTGGCCATCCTCAGGTATCTGTTCACTTGTTGAAATTGCTATAATGAATTAGTTCTTAAGTTAAAATATTCCGATTTTATTCCATTTTCGTTGATAATTCAATAAAATACAATTGCTCGAGACCATCATTCTTTATCTT